AACTAGCGTACCATATAACCTTTGCGGCTCCGGCTGTCGACACCTGTGCAATGCGCAATTACCGAGCTCACGCCTCTTGGAGCAGCGCCGGCGTGTCCCATTCGATTGCATTGGTTGTCACGTCATATTGGCTCTGCCCGGAGTCGGAAGGGACAGATGTCGCAATGGTTGATTGGATTGGACGTAACCCAGCGGTGTCTGGGTGCAGCGGCTGCCGGAAGGCCTGGAATGTCCGGATCGCGATGGGACAGGTGCTGGAACGCGCACCTTTCCGACTGGGTCTCCGCATTGACACCTGGCTGAAATTACTACGGTCAGCTTCCCGGCTCGGTTTCCGAGATCGGCACCGGATACGCGATCTGCCGGCTACTGGATTACAGAGTACCATGCAGGGTTCGTCCGGAGACTCGTGTTGCTGACCGGTGACGCTGTTGGCACACATTTGATGCACGGCTCTGTTGTAGTGGGGAGGCTGGTCGGCCGGCCGGCCGGATACCCCCACCCTACCCTCACACCCATCGGTGGAAGAGTCGGCCGACGACGCCGCCGTCTGGTGACGTCACCGCCGGTCGATGACGCCGCTGTTTGTGTGACGTCACGGGTCAGGTCAGCCGCTCGGGCGAGTGTGGCCGCTGGACTGCCTCATGGCCACAGGGTATTGATCGGTCCGCCTAATGGACCGATGCTGGTCGAATGGTTGCTATACACAGCTTGGGACGTGTGTATTGGCTTCTCAGAAAGTTACAGCGGTGGTGGCAGACTGGTACAAAGAAAGGAAAACAAATTATCCTGACAGCTCTGTATTCATTGAACCTTGCACTGTCAGTTTTTCGCTTGGTTGTCAGGTAATGAGGGTTTCTGGAAATTATTGTCATCTTTTATGCTCAATGCTCATTGCATATGTGTAGTTTTTTTTAGCATAGGTTTAGGTACCCTGTCGATGTCTTATTTTTCGTCTCTGATGTGGCTGAATTGATCAGTGCCTTGTCTTGTCAAGGTCTTACAGAGCTAGAGCCATGTCTCTTTCGCATGGATTTCGTGGTGAATGTATGATCGTTTCGTGCCTGCACGGTATGCAGTTTTTATTTTAACGACATTGTTTTAAGAAAGAAAACTTAAAAGTTGCGAGCTCTGTGGATCACGCGAGCGAACCAGATGGAATGTTTGTGTACGACACTGGTCTCTGGTCTCAGTGGTTGTCCGCGCATTTACTGGCTGATGAACCGCTAGTCCTGCGCATCCTCTGTGTTGATTTCCATTGCAGAGGCCTGTAGTGCCTATTACGAGAAGCCCGCTGAACTATCACCGTCCGTCCTACGCGCGTTCACAAACGTTCCTTCTTTCCTGTCCGGTCACGTTGACTCGAGTCGGACCGCCCGATGGTGCCGGCTGCTGTGACGTCACCGAGGCGTCATCATGATGACGTGCACTTTCTGTGCGTACCGGCGGCGGCGTGGCACGGCGCCGAGCCGCCGCCGCCTGCCGCCCGGCGCGGTCTGACCCCTCCCCTCTCCTCTCCCCCAGCCGCCCCCACCGACCGGCCCGGTCCCCGCCGACCTCCCCTATCGGGTTACACAATGGAACGAGGCAAAGCTGCCGGCGACCACGGGTGCAGTGAGAAGGTGGATGGCTTCATACAGCCTCGCGTGGCAGAGTATCATGTAACCCGGCCAGAGGGGTGTGGTTGGCCAATGGCCATTTCTTGTCCGCGGTGCCATAATGTAGTTCCAGAGAAGGATGGATGTGACTTGCTGGCGTTACTAATGCTTGCTCTAAGTCTATAAGGTGTGCACTGCGCGCTGTGCAGTGTTTCGGAAGAAGCCATGTTCTCAGCCGGTTGGTGGTTTTATTTCGTTATGTGATAGGAATATGCAAGTGAATGCATCAGTACCGGTCTGGGTGTAGCTATAGTACGAACTCAAGCCCATGAGAACTGGATTATTCGACCTCACTCACTTTTAACGCCGTGTGTGCACATTGCTGGCTTTTCCTTCCAGATCAGCGTTGCTTCGTCCACGACTTAGGCATCATTTCTGAGAGCGCTCTGTCCGTTCCGATTCTCAGCCAAGAAGATGATCATGCCTCCGTCGGCACTCGGCTGTTTTTTTTTCACCATTACTCCAGGCACTGGCGTGTGCCGGTGCCACGGATTTCCCTGGAACACGCGCTGGCCGTCCTTGACTCGCGAGTACCCTCGTCTCTCCCTGCGGAGGAGGGATGACTCTCCATTCCGCCCGTCCCACTCCAAGCGCGATGCCGCCGCGTCCGGCACGAAAAGCAAACAACGACTCGCCCGCTCAAGGTTTCCACCGGCAGTTAGAGCCAACTTGTCAGCTTGACCGCAGGCTGTCGTTTCTTTCGACATGAACTGCTGCTTCAAACGGGACTCTACCTCAAGATTCTGTAGTGACTGAGGAGGGGAGAACGTTCCACGGCTCACCCAGCCCTCCATATGATGCCCTTTCCTTATGCAGATCCAATGTCACAGTGTTCTATCGTGATGTCTCGTTGAGGCGTTACGACTTCGGTACATCGCGCTCCCCTAGCACCCCTCCCCACGAGTATAGTCATCGACCCCGTGACGCCAGGTTCCGTCCTTCACAACTGTTGATAAGACATGCTCGGACGCGTGACCGGACTTTCAGGAAATGCTATCGTAGTGGTCTCGTCACCCCCTCAGAAGCATGTGATTTCATTATGAGTGGCAGGCTCTGTCCCCTTCCGATCTGCCCGCTGGCCATGATTCGCCGGCTGCCGGGTCATCCTCCGGGGGGGGGGGAAGGGGGGGGTCTGACCTATATCTGGCCGATCTGGGATAGGTCTCCGGGCCCTGTGGCCCACATGATAGCGGTATCAGCGGCCGGCGCAATCTGTGCGGGCGCTGATGTGACATGAGCCTCGCTCACCCTGTCACCGTGCCGAAGTAGACACACGTAATCATTACGGGGCGCTACATTCAGGCGCTTCTTCTGGCTACCCTCAGCTGCGATTGTCTCTGACTCTGGTCGCCACACCCAGCTTGTAGCGGTGGCTCCCTCACAGCTGGTGGATCCACGCCCGCTGTAAGCTTCCTCCAGCTGGCCTGGTCTGACGGCTTTGGTGCTATTCTCGGCACGAGTCGTCCATGTCTATCGTAAGGCGCTTTGCCGCCGTCAGCCAGGGATGAGACTGCTGATAGTGGTATGCCGCAGCTCAGCGCTGGTTTGGTGAACTTGGGTTCACAGCGGCTCCGGGCTCAGTGCTGGTCAATCCACGGTATAGTGGTATACTGATGTGGTCTGCATGGCCGAGTATGGTCTAACGAACTGGAATGTCAGAGGTCAGTGACCGGTAAACGGTTGTCAGACGCTTCTCCACAACGCAGACAGAGGATGTCCTGGCTGCTACTCCCGCTAATTAAGCAAAACACCATCAAACGCACCTGTGACGCGGATTCAGCGATCAGGCTCATTCATCTACAAACGGACGCAGTCCCGCAGTACTGAGACCGTCTGTGTGTTGCGGACGAGCGTGGGACGACCGCTCGGATCTTTCGGAGCTCCAAACCACCCACCCCGTGACCCGGGCGGAAGCGGCCGGTGCATCCGGCTGCGCTCAGCGGGGGAGGGGGTCGCTGGACCGTGTGATGTCACGGGACTCAGAGTGGGCCAAAGGGGGAGCCGGTGTCACTGAGCGGGGCAAAAGGTGGAGCTGGACGAGATACGAGCTGACGTAGGTCAAAATAAGAACTAAGTCCTGTCGTCGCCGGTGGGAACCTAGTTAGTGGTGTCAAAAGTCAAAACAGGAATCGGATTCGAAGATACGGTATACGTAGGTCAACTCTGGAGCGCCTTTCAACTGCACACCCTGCACATTTCGATACCAGCCACTTGGGCCTTCTTGATAAGGTTTCGTTGCTTACAAATCAATAATGTTTTACGTATCAGTAACATGCTCGCTAACCTGGAAAGGTTGAAACCAGGGCCCAATCTTACCAATGCCGTGAATAGGATTTGGCAGCACTGGTCGGAGTTACCGGCATTGATATCAAAGATATCCTTTGGATTTACATCCAGCTAATCTTGTCCAATGATTTTGATCGCGTGAATGATTATGAATGTTGTCTGAGCGAATGAATAAATGAATGTGGAATAGTTCTGAATGTTACCAAATGCCGTGAATGCGCATTCACGGCATTTGGTAAGATTGGGCCCTGGTGAGATATGCTATCCACAGGACCTAAAAAATATTTTATGCACACGATCTAAATCATTTCCTCAAATGGAAATTTTTAAGTGAAAAACATGCATCTACCCTGGACCATGTCGTTCCGCACTGCCCATTAGCTGTCCCCGTCAGTGTGAGCTAGGACAGGTAACAATGGAAAGGTCTTTTCACGCCGCCGCGCTGGGTGGCCGCCGTGGCCAGAAGTGTGGACCGCCCGGGGCTGTTGGCTTTGTCAACAGTCGCCGAACGGTGCAGGCCGGCACGGGCGGGGCCGAGTCAGAATGCATAATGTGTATGAACGTCATCCCACTGTGCTGGGCGGGTCGATGGTTGCAGTGGGTGCTGCTGCTTGGGCGGTGTTAGCAGGGACAGACTATTTTTGACATGTGACATTCGAGACCGTATGTGATATGACCAAACCTTGGACACTGACATGTGAATTGTGACATTGACTTACCCCGAAGACCCCTGACCCCAAATTACTCTGTGACTTTTGATCTTTGGGGTTATGTAGCTGCTAGTGACACTTGTTGGCCTGTGACAGTGACCGTGACTATCCCGTGATCCTAGTTAGCCCGTAACCAAGACTGATATGAGACCTGTGACGCCGATTGACCTATAGTCCTGCTAACTTGTGACCTTAGCTGACCCTATGACACCAGCTCACATTTGACCCTAGCTGACATTTGACCCCCAGCATGGCCCTTAGCTGACCTGTAGCCCCTAGCTAACTGATCTTTGACCCCAAGATGACCTGTGTCCCCAGATGACCTGACCGCGTCTTCTTTCGGCAGCTGTTCGCGTCTGTGCTGCTGATTCTGCAGCTGGGTGGTCTCATCTACGCCGTCACACAACACTCCAGTGACCCGGACTCTATACGATCGGTGGACATCTACACACCCGTCATACTGTTCGTCTCAATAGTAAGTCCAGCGGCAGGCGTCGAGTGCTGTCTCGCCTGAGGTCGAGAAGCTACTGGCTCTTCTCTATGGGAGGAAAGGGTTATCCAAGCCTTCAGCGTAGCATGCCGCACCATTCACCAAGCAGGAAGCCATATGTGGGCCGCTCACCATAGGTAATGTCATACACATCTTCACTTTCTGCAAGTTCATACTCATACCTTTTTAGGTGTGTGGGTTGAGGGGAGGTGGAGGTGCAAGTCTGTCCCGTGGCTATCGAAACACTGGGTCAGTCTCCAGACAGCCCCGCCACATCCGATAAGTGGTCGACACGCGTCTGTTTTCCTTGGTCCGTCGCCGACCAAGTATGATAGAGCGCCGGCTGTAATCACGGAACAAGAAGCAATCAGGTGCCTGTGTCGCATCCCAGGACTAGCCTGTGACACTATCGAACGGACCAGGCCATCGCGTCGTCTCTGCTCTCCGCTGGTGTGACCTGACCGGTCGCCGGCCGGCGGGGCAGAGTGCAGTCTGGGGTCACGGGACACACCCAGTGGGGAGCGGCTCCGGGCGGGAGGGGGCGGATTGTTTGCCGCCGATGGTGGGTATTGGACTGGCTGGTTTACTCCGCGGCGTTTGCTGGCCCTGAGTAACGGGCTCTGGCTGTGTGCTAGTGGTAAAGGTTTGGTGGGAAGCGTTAGTTATTGAGGTGTGGTCATGGGAGGGTACAGCGGAATTTTTGGGTTTTCGCCCTAAATCGTCCTGTTAAGACGCAGTGTGGCTGTAACTATGATGCCCACTGCACACATTGAAAGTTATCGTCACTAAATGGGAGGCGATCAGATGTGCTTATTGTAATGAACGATTAAACCATTTTATTGTCAAAATATCTCTTCAAACTTTTTTAGTCGTCAGGAGACTCCAGACAATATCTTTAGTTCTTACTTGTGATGACTTAACTTCATCTGAAGGCAGTGTTCGAGCATTCGAGAAAGCTGCGGCATTCGTTTATAAGCATGAATTGTAACAATCGTACCTACATCACCGTTTGACTCATTCAATTTTCATAAGAAGAGTGTCGGTGATTCGCCGTTCGGATATCGACCTCTCGTCAGAGCGCCTTTTTACATGTTATCTGGCGATTGTTTGATGGCTGTTCAGCGATAAGGTGTGGCCTTGGGGTACATTGATGTCTCCGTTACATGTGTTTTACGAGAAGCCCGATTGGGATAGTGTGATAGCGTTTGTCAGTGTTATACAACAGACCCAGACGATACCTATTATTCTATTGTTTGGCATTTGTTTTACGTAACCCGTTATGCAATATGCATAAACATACTAAATGCTAGAGCGACCGATACTCAATCTAGTCCTGTGACCTTGGCTGGATGGGCTCAGTTTTCAGTGAGGTCGATCAGCTACCGGAATGGTGGATATTCGAGACCCAAACCGCTACTCGATTCATGTTCCCGAATGCCTCGTCATGGCCGTTCGAACAACCGACGGTCTTTCTTTGTTGTTTCGATCCCGCCGGGTTTCTAAACGTTCAATCATTCTAACGCCAATCGATCAAAACGTTTACTTTAGACTGTGATAGTCGTAGTGCTGATAAAAAAGATTTCTCTTCTCTACTCTGCAGCCGCTAGCAATGTCTCGTACGGACGGCGCCCGTTGTATCATGTGATGCTGAGTGGCGGGATGTCGGTTCGGTTGCCGCTATCACTCGGGCCTGACTGGCTCGATAGGACCAGGGCTGCGGAGTCGATGGATTTTAGGGTGACTCCGACTCCGACTCCGACCCCATCTCCGACTCTGAATGTTTCTCTTAAGAATCCATGTCATGATTATAAAGTTCATAGTGGAGATGTTTTAATTTTGCCTGAAACGATCCTTTGTACGATCCAAGGCTTTGCATTGCAAATATGCTGCATAAATAACATTCAAACTTAAAGGGACCCTCCCACCTTCAAAAAAGTTAATGAATTGGCACGAAAGTGATGTCGCTCGGTTCAGAAAGAGCGAAAACGAATATCTAGCAAATTTCATCGAAAAATATTCACCGGTTTTCAAGATATTAGACTTTTACTTTTGTTTACTTTTTGGGATCTCCGCTGTTCCTAGCGACTTTATTTGAAAGTGCGGCATTTGTTGCGCGCAAAGCAGCATATACCACCGCGTGCTACCAAACGTTTTAGTAAAAGATTTAAAAATCGTTAGATCTCCGCTGACGTCACAAATTCTAAGGGGGCATACCAATGCACTAGCCCCTTAGAATCCGAAAACTGCAAGTTTGAAATTCCATATCTCCGAATTAAAGCATTTGTCGATGTTGTGAGTGCCCAAACCGGTATTTGCAGGCCATGGCCACCAATTTGGCTATCTCAACTCAAAACTAATGTTAAGGTGGGAGTGTCCCTTTAAAAGCAGGTTCTGATGAATCCGTCGTCTTTTGCTTCTTTCACTGAAAACGCTCGTCCAAAACAGGAATATGGCCTTTTTTAGACAAAATCTGACTTCAAAAGGTCAGCGAGCGTGGTATCGTCCAGCAACCAGGTGCAGGACATGACATTAAGCCATACTGCGTTAACTCTGACTCCGGAGTCGCAGTCCGTAAGATTTTGGCGACTCCGATTCCGGCTCCGGACAGAACTGTCAACTCCGACCGACTCTGACTCCGACTCCGCAGCCCTGGATAGAACCACCCCATACCTAGCGTAGCAGTGTCGCAGCTCCGTCCGTACTCACTGTCCAGGACGACCGATATCAGTTGTAGGGCGCGTGCTCACCTATCAATGGCTTAAACGCATCCGCCTGCCTTTTTGTATTTGTTCGTAAAATGACAGTTTTTTTATTGCATGGCTTAGCATTTCGGTAAATGCCATTGCTGATGCAGATCTGCCACGTAGTAGATGCGGTTTCTTTTCTGTCTTTTGTGACTGAACCGAAGACCAACAGACTCAACATCCTGGCTAAGTAGTCATTAGTGCATCGAGACCAGGTGCGAGTGTTTGTGCAAGATTTTGTACCCCAACGCTCTGACCAGCACTGCGGGCGACTGAATCTCCTGCACTCGAATTACACTGGTGGCCGTTTCCGCAATCCGAGGACTGTCGTGACTGCCGCTGGCCGGCGACGTCTCTCCTCACGTCGCCGTGAGCTGTGCGTTCGCCGTACGCCCCCACACCGGACGCACGAACAGTCCTGCTTCTAACGGTGACTGGCACATCTGCCTGTGTGTCGGCCCTCCGCCGTGACCGGTCGCACCGGCGCACACCACGCACCCACGCCGTCCCTCGGCCCCCCTTTGACGTCATTGAGGGTCACGTGGACCGGGGTGGATGAGTCAACGAGCGGTGTTGGTGGTTTCACGGTCGGCGTGCAACGCGTCCGAGCCGGCCCTGAAGGCTGATACGATAGCGGCGGAAGACCAGACGTGCACTCTGACCACACGACAGAGGAGATTGGTGCTTTTAAAAGACGGAGTCGGCCATTGCGTCTGAGATGTTGATACGTATGACTTGAAGCTTTGTGGATGCTCCCTGCCAGCAGCTGCTCTGAAGAAATTTGACTCGTATTGTCGGTCTGTGTAAAGATTATGTAACGAGGAATCTGCCGTCTTTCGGAGACTTCAACATCGCCATTTTCAAATGGCACTGTGAAACGAAGGAAAGACATGGACAGGCCGTTCACCATTCCTCGCCAAATGCTCAGTGAGCGAACGCTTAAAACGCACTCGACGCCTACCATTAAATAGGACACATGGGCGGGTGTGCGCAGGCAGATGAGCGCTGTTTTCGCCACACAAACCCGGAGTCAGCAATGTTGAGGCGTTCCGTCGACTGAGTGCCGTGCCTCCGCCCTCCGGTGAACTGGCATCCCGCCCCGTGTTATGCTATAGCCGTGCAGTATCGCACCGATTATGTAATATGGATATGACCAAACCATGCTGAAAATACCAGCTCCCGTTCGACACCTACTCGTGTAATGCCTTCCGATCATACCATTCCAAGTCTTGCACCACCTCAGCTTACACCGGTGGACGGTAGGACGCACGATGATAGCAGGACAGCCGCCGTGTCCTCGGCGCCCGACCTCCGATATCGCTTCACTGGCCTATCAGTTGGCCCCTCAGCACCGGCGCCGGTCCGTGTATCGGTCGAGCGCCGCTCAGGTGTAGTACACAGGTCCCCGGCGCGACCTTTGGACGACCCTCGAGACGGGCGGCGCGGCCGGGCATGCGGCAGTCGGCATGACGGAGCCGGAATCAATGATGCATGCAGGGAGGCAACCGTGGGTCTTGCGCCATCCTTTGGAGAATAGATATAATGCAATACGCTTCCGGCGAGAGCCCTTCCTATGTTACATCACAGGAGTAGGCATTGCTTATCAACTGCATTTTCGCAGTTCTCCGACATTTGGCCTTTTCATTAGGATCTTCATATTCGTTATTAGATTCATTTCCAGGGCCCAGAGCTCCCCTAAAATCCAAACATCATCATTAGCATCATTACTTCAACTCGTGACGTGACTTTAGCTCTGGTCGATCGTTAGTCATTCCCTATTGAATGCCGAATGTCTGTTGCTTTGTGTCGTCCTTGGTTGTACCGTCTTCCCCGGGGCGGCGGCGGCAGCGGCGGCAGCGTCGGGCGCTGGAAGGGGTGCTGTCGCCCGCCGCCGGCGTCGTCGGGTAGGCTCCAAGGTCGCTGCGGCACGCCGGCCGGCCCGGCGTGGGGCGGCCCTGCGACCGGCGGGGAGCGTCGTTGGAAATCGGCAGCTGCGACGGTTGGTCGGCCATCGCCAGTCGCGACGCAGGCTTTGGATGTTCTCAGATACCCTATTATTAGACTGCATGGGGTTCAAACTACGTTAGGGAGCGGGGCCTTGATTGATGAATTGACCGATAGGCATGACTTGTACGGGATTTGGCCGCTATCTTTACCAGTGATCAGGTCAAGTCGAGAGTGATTCACGCCTAGATCACAGTTGTCATGACGTTTTTATTCAGCGACATGGCAGTGTCATCAGTGCAATGGATGAGATATCCTATTGGACCGGCGCCTGCCATTCAATTCAATGACTGCTCTGAGAAATGTTGCACTGTTGCACCGCGCGCCGCGGGTTGTTGCACCCTGCGCCGGGGCCCCGTGGCGTGACTGGGGGGCAGCCTCGGCGTGTTTACGGCGGTGGTCTGCCGGCCTGCTACCGTCCCCAGGGAGCTGCTGGCGCGGAGCATCAGAAGCCCCACGACCCGGCGCCACGAGAGGGCGAGCTGAAAACACGGCCCGTGGTCGGGTGGTCGCCACACCCGCCTCACACTGAATATGAGCAGACCAATGGTCAGCACTCACTCAACCCCGTGGCTGTTACAGAAGAGCTGACAGGCGGGCGGGAGAGGAACAGATATTGTTTAGTTTGAGTTTTTTATAGTCTCAACCACCGTAAAGAGTCTGCCAAAACTGCACCGTCACGCGTCTCGTGGAGTTTTCCACAATCCTCCTTACCCATAAACGGAATAGCTCTGTTTTTATTGTAAGGCATCAGGAGTCATAGTTTTGTCTCATCACAGATGATATGTTTGTTTAGCGGTGCCCATGAAACCGTTTTTCTTACGGTGCATATTGCGGTCACGTTATGTGATGACGGCGCAGTGAGGCTGTGACATACGGCCTGACTCTCTGTGACAGTCGGTCGCTCGCCGGCTGCTCCGGGCCGCTCCCATAGCTCCGTGTCGGTGTATGTGTGTGTTCGAAGGCGCTCCCGACCGCGGCTCTGCGGTCTCTGTCGACTGGCGGCGGCGGCCCTTCGCGACACCGTCTGTTTGGAGGAAGTACACCTCACCTGAGGAGCGAGGCGGCGGGGCGCAGCCGTGAGCGCTCTCGGCGTTGTTACACGGACAGAATAGCGGTCCGTTTGACAACGGCATAACAGTCCGGGAGCAGCACGGAGGGGAGGAGAGTAGGTCGTTTTTTGTCGGGTTCAAGGATCCCCGACTGTGCGGCGTTTGTTGGCCGATAAGAGCGGTGTCTCCGAGCTTCAGCCAAGGCAACGGCGAGCGGAGCTGTCGAAATGACGGTGCAGTCCCTCCTCTCAGGGCCGCGTCTCCCCTCCCCTCGACGGTTTCAGAAGCCTCACCACTGGAATGCACGTCCCGACTGCAACTCATGGACCGCTCGAACCCAGAGAACCGTCGTGATTCCCCATCTGCCATTGTGGAGTCCATTGGAGTGCATCAGCATGTACCGTCCGCCCGTCGTATTGTGTTGTCCGTGCATGGTGCAGCTGCCACCCGGCTTATGAATTTGCGCCGTGCCGTGAGTGGGGCGGCACGGAGGCATGGCTAGTGCTGCCGGCCACGTCAGATGACGACCCTGATCGAAGGTGACCGAACGGAGACTACACTGGGTATTGTCACAGTGAGAACCGTTTGCACTTCCAACCGACACCGTTGTGCAGAATCATGATAGCTGGTATTGAACCCCGACTTTGACCCTGGACTACTTTGGACACGTGGGTTCTTGTTAAGGCCTGGCTACACTATGCGTTTTCTTCGTGCGTTTTTTGCGTGTTTGCGTGTTTTGCGTGATATCGTTCTAGAAAAAGAACGATATTACGTTTTTGTGATGTTTTTCACCTTAAATTTTAGTTACATAAGAGTTATATTAGCTTTTGTATATAACCAAAGTAAAAATTATATTGTTTATAACTTTTTTCCTAGAACGATATTACGCAAAACACGCAAACCTGCAAAAACGCACGCAGAAAACGCATAGTGTAGCCAGGCCTTTACACTCTGACAAGTTTATGTTGTCAGGTGCTATTTTTTGCCGTCCATGGGCCTCGGCGCTGTTTCGGCCAGCCACGAGTTCCAGCATGGCTGGACTTTGTCCGATTAGTTCCAGAGGCCGTCTGCCTGCCAGCTCCCGTTACAGAAATGTTACCCAGCCAACCGCGATGCCCGCTCATAATTCCCGCTGACTCCCCCCTCCGTCCGGCAATGGCTGTATTGACGGACATGCAGTTAATTGGGTGCTTATTTATAGACGTGCCTGCAGTTGTCACACTGGTGACAGCGTTGAGCCGCGGGGGTATGTCTGTATGTCCGGTAGGCCGTGTTGTTGACTGAGGCGGCCGGCGGACCCGGTGGCCTGTTGGCCGAGTGGCGTGCCCCGCAGCTGGCCGGGGCTGTGAGCAGCGTGAGCCGACCTGGCAGCCAGTGTTCGGCGTACCCCGACGGCCGGTCGGGCGGCTCAACTGCGCGGACCCTACGACCCCCGGCTGGTCCAGTTCCAGCCGCGTGCAAAGTACGGACGAGCGACCACGCCACGACCGCGGAGACCGGCGGGCCCGGATAGTGAACCCGTTCGCTACTCGTGTCCTGTCACAGGCGCCTCTGTTCCACCGCAGCCGTGTGCTCATACCATTGTCCGTTTTTTTGGCACTGGCGCCGATGCAGTTGTATGCAATTGTCTGTTTTGTGGCACTGGCGCCATGGCTGCCGTTGCCGCTCGAGGGGATGGTTTGAACACCAGTCTTCCGTCTTTATGTTCGGCCGACTCGTAGTGACCTTGCAAACGTCATGCAATGCCCTCGGGCTGCCGTGTCTCCCGGTCGGCCTCCCGAAAATCGCCTAATGTGCAGCTCCGCGTGATAAATGCGCTTTCTTCGTGCCTCTTTCAGTTGCCGTGGCACAGGCTGGCTCCATGGCGCGTTGGGTCCGGCTGGATGATTCAGCACACGACAGTGGCCATTGGGCAGCGCCATCAAATGACCTTTATCGCACGCCGAAGCCTAGTTATCAATGAAGCTGGCCATTCAGCGTCGCTACTGAGCGCCCGGTGTTTGGAACGCATCAGTCATCATTGTGTGGTCTAGCGTGGGCGGGGTTTTGACATTTCTGGACCGCGAGCTTTGCTGTGGCTCTGCCAGCCCGATACCGCTCTGTTGTGGCGGGCGCCAGTAAAATGTCCGTCCATGGCGGCTGAGGGTGGTTCAGTGGGGATTTGCGGGGGACAGTCGCGGCCGCTGCGGCGTCGTTACTTTGTAAACTGTCCCCGTCAGGAGGAGGTGGACGGCGCTGGCCCTCTGCCCTTTTCCTCTACAGGGATGGAAACTATGTCCTACAGAACCGGGGGACGTTGCCCCTGCTAAACGTCCCATGTCCTCTGTCCATACCGGGTAGGCTTGTGTTACTGTAGCTTGTATAAGCACTGAGTAGCCGTTGCGAATGTGGGGGCGGCCTCTGTCGCTATTCTGACAGTAGGTACCGCTACATGTCTGTCTCTCTCAGACATCCAAGCACGCCCAGAGTCTGCAGACGCATACGATAGGCTGCAGTGTCATGGTGCATTGTGGTTCGGTACGCCTTGTATTGTCTTCATATTTGAGTCATGCTTGCATCAGGATGACAAACAAGATGGGACTTAGGATGATTCTATATTTGATAAATTCCCACATTCCGGTCTGCACTATGGTTTGTTTGATACGTTCGTTGGTATCTCAACTTTGTCATCAGTATATAATGACAGATAAACATCCTGCTCATCCATCCTTTTTAGATGGCCTCGGCGTTTAGTGGGACATATTTCAAAAGGTTTGCGTCAGATTTATTTTGAACTCCGATTGTTCGGGAACAGTGTACGACTGACTCAGCCGTGGCAGGTGAAAGGTACGGCGAACAGTGACGTTGCAAAGACTGAGCAGTGAGCACGCCATCAGTGGAGGGAGGGCCGAGGTCGGCAAAGAATTCCAGGAGGGTGGGGGACGCACTGTCCCGCCTGTCCCGCCGTTCATGCTCCAGTTATGCACGGTCATTACGGCACGCCTCTCTCAGTCCATCTCGCATTGCATGTGACCGTCGCACTGTTTGTTTTTACTCTGCCCCGTTCTGCGCTGGGCAAGTGTGTCTCGGTTCAACGACCTGCAACGGTTATGTGACTCTCAGTATCCCACCCCACTTTTTGCTGTCTTGTGCATTTATTCCGTGACCTGCTACCCCACTCACTATTTAACACCAACATGATGCAACAGTTTATATCTGACTCGTGGAAATCGGCATGGAGATGTACTTGTTGAACCCTTGTACCGTGTGAATTACTACTCCCTCCGTTCTAACCCGCTGTGTTTTGTCCACAGGCATTGGCGCTGGTGTTCATGCTGTTTGAAAAGCGGCGCGGCATACGAACGTCAGGCGTGATATGGGTGTTCTGGACGCTGCTGGCGTTCTGCGGTATCGCAGAGTTCCGCACACGCATCATGAACGCCACAGGCGATGTAAGCTGGAACGCTTCAGGTGGAGTAAGGGATGCAGCAGCGACTGGGAGCTCTGCGTCATTGACGGGCAGGCGAGATGATAGGTGTGGGTGTAGGCTGGTGGCTCGTGGCTCGGTCTCTGCCGGTCTCGGTCTCTGTCACCAACTTTTTTTTGCATTTTTAAAGTAAATACTAGTTTTAATTCGCTGGCAATAGGGGCTGCAGTGCTTCCTGGCAAAGGTTGATCAAAACAATGAGCCTACCAACAGTGCCAACTATGCTGAACCGAACATAATATCCTTGTTTGTCTTTGTTTTCAGATGTGCTCATTTCAAAGGGGTAGTAGCTATCCCGTAGGCCGTAACCTGACCTGTGTCTTCACATGGAGACCGCCGTGGTCTCCGCTCTGACATTTAAACTTACCGATGACCTTGCTCGTGACCTGATCTTTGACCTGACCCCCAGCGTGAGAAGTCACCTGAACAGTCAACTGACCCATGAACTCTCTCGTGATCTGCCCAGTGCCCTACCCTTTCACCTGTTCTGACATGACTTCTGCCTCCCGTCCGGCAGGAGAGGGTTGACCAGGACACGACGCCGTTCGTGCTCTACATGATCTACTTCCCAGTGCTGTTTGCCGAGTGGCTGCTCAACTGTTTCGCCGACGCGCCTGCGCAGTATGTCGAGGATGAGATCAAGGGAGACGTGAGTACGGCGGTGGATGAGTCAGGGACAGGGGGTGAGAGAGGGCCTGGCTTCGGTGGAAAGGAATAACAGGGATAGGGCTCTACAGCTGGTGAGCCAGGATTAGGCTCAGCCCATCTTATGTAGTTCAACCCATTGCTAGTACTCGTCTGGGGCGCACGACAAATTATTTTATTACAGCTTTGAAGTCATGGGGTCCTCGACCCTTCATTATCGCCTTGTTAGTTGGTGTTACTTCACCGCTGTGTTTCTGATATGCTGCTGCTGCCGCAGCCCTGTGGCCTAACGCTGACGTTCCCCCGCCCCGTCCACCGACAGAAACCGTCCCCGAAGGCGAGTTCGTCCTTCATCAGCAACATCACGTTCGCGTGGTTCGAGCCGATGGCGTTCAGAGGCTGGCGGCACTCGCTGCAGCGGGACGACCTGTGGGACCTGAACCCTGCCGACCGGTGCTCCAAGATCGTGCCCGTCTTCAACAGCCACTGGTACAAACTGCTGGAGAAGAGCCGAAGGTGAGAGGACGGGAGAAGGCAGAGGGGAGGGATCCGGGATTGGTGGTGATCATTGCGCTGGGTGGAGGAGCATGCTCACAATTTTTGATATCACTGCAAAAACCACATCGGTGTGTGCTGGAATGTCTTTTTAGCGTGAGATGTTGGCAGGAGATCAGCCATGTTATCACCCGTTGTTGTGCTTTTGAGATGGTGCTGGGCGGGTTGTCAGAATCGGTGGTCGCACTAAAGAACAACAACCGTGCACTAGGGTGAACGGCACGTGAAATTCATGGATGCTGCTTAAAATACACAGACGTTTCTCCATTTTAAATGAGGAAGGTGAACTGGCTCATGCAGATGCATGGGAGCTTTTTAGGCGAGCGTGAGCGAGCCTCTATCCAGGGTCTAAACTAGCTATGTTCAGACTCAGACTGAAAGTTTAAGCAGAATGGGCGTTGATTTCCATCACAGTCCGGGCGCCCCTAAATTCCAAACTTCATCAGAGAGTTCAAGCAGTAAGAACATAAAGCTCGTGCGTCATCTTCCGTTCCCGTAAGCAGTGGTGCAGTGGGATGCAAACTGTAAGGTGTTCCTTGAAGGGAAATGTAGCCCCACTCTCCCACTGAACCCCACACCTAGCTTCCTTCTCCCACCTCTTCCCAGCAGTAGCGTCGGAACACCTTCAATTAAGGGGGGGGGGCACTGCCGACTTTTGGTCCCATTCTTTCCATGCAACGCCCATAGGGCTAATGCTAAAATGGAAAAATCCAGGGGCACGGTGCCCCGGTGCCCTCCCCGTTCCGCCGTCTAGCTTCTCCCACCTTTCTCCCGCCGCCCTCCCGCCGCCCGTCCGGCCGGCCTGTCGTCCTCTGTGCCCCGTGCTCGCCACCGGAGCTATAAATAGCCCGCACGGCGGCGCCAGTGGCGTTTCGTCAGTGGCCGACCGTGGCGGTCGCCGCAGCTCAGTCCATGACACAACGGGACAGTCCCTTCCACGGCCGAGATGGTGATTAGGAGACAATTGGACTGATTTGTGGATATGGGGCGCTGGATATCCACCTTTTGATGGCCCCTAAGGTTTCGCTGGGTGATTTGTGGGCATCGTTTGCCATAATTCTGCATATGAAAAGAATGTGCTCATTCTTTATCACTGAATCACGTCACTTGCTTTCTTGGATGCACTGATGAAGTTAATTGTTGAATATGTATCTGAGCTTACTCTGGTTTCGCTGAAACGTCATCACTCTGACGTCATCACCTTGCCCCACCGAACGGTTTACACTCATCACCGGTGCTTCTTCACGCTGCGTGTTTATGCTTGTGCGCGAGTTGAGAGTGTTTACCTGCCTCGTATGTGCGTAAGAGCCAGGAGTGTACCAATCCTGGCGACTAACGCACCTCCTTTGGCAGGGAATTTTGGGACCAGTTCGGGTAAGGCACTGCGCCCCGCCCGGGCGCTGTACTGTGATGTGGCCTGTCGCTCGATGTAGTGTGCCGATAGACTGACCGACCTCTGAACAGGCCGGCTCTTCGCCGAATGCTGCATGTCGCACGCCCGTCAATGTATTCGTATTTACATGGCATGGTGCGAACTGAACAGGCACGGTCGTGAACAGCATTTGACGCATCTAAAACCCCTCTGTTAGTAACCCAGAAACTAGGACATCTCGGCGCTGTTGTATCGTAAAATGCACAGTTATCTGCAGATAGATTGAAGTCTACATGTAGAGCTCCCAGCTTGAACGTACGATATGATGATATTCTGTTTGGTAGTCAAGCAACTGCCCATATTCGGTAACCATTCCACTAGAAAGTCTCGCACTAAACGTATGCAAAGGCGACTCTGTAGGAAACCAGCGGTCAAGACGGGGCTCGCTCCCTTACGTCGCTGCCCGTAATACGTTGTAGTGGAATTTTGGCTATGCAGTAGCATTGAAAAACAGAGTTGGCTATGTACTTTGATCGTATAGTGGACAGGAATGTGTTCATTGTCGTGCTTTTATTTCAGTTGTTGTGTCATCTGTTGTGACCAGAAAGCTGTCGTCTTCAGCTCTATCGCATCATTTAACGATGAAACTAGCTTTTCTGTGTCTATGCATGATGTGGTATACAGTGTATTTGTGTGATGTATCATGTAACATTTTTTGTTTTAAGAAAACTCACCTGAACTGGCATTCTCTTACAATTGACCTAACCCTCTTGTTTCCCCCCACTCATTCAGCACACTGCCCTGTGTCAGCCTCTAACCGTGTACCCGCCTTCCTCAGTCGAGCGCCGCCCAGAGTACAGAAAGTGGAGTTCACCAAAACCACCGACGACGTGGCCTTCAGCGGCCAGAAACGCGCCTACAAGCGCGCCTCCATCCTCCCGGCACTGATCAAGACGTTCGGCGGCTCCTTCCTGCTGGGTGTGCTCCTCAAGTTCATCAACGACACCCTGCAGTTCATCAACCCGCAGATCCTGAGGTAGGCGGCGCTGGCCGGGTGTGATGCGGAGCGCGAGACGCGGTGGGTGTTTGGGGTAACGGAGAGGGTACACTGGTGTCTGGTGTCGAAGTTAGGAACAAATAGCTGAGGGCGGAATAGGAGAGTTGATAGTTTTTTTTAAGACTGACAGGGTATGCGAGGGAACGAACCTACAGTATGAGACGCGACACTTTGTTGTAAGGAAAATGCGCGGCGGTAGCAGCACTTCAGTCTCAATACGTCTTCATGATTTTGATTTGTGACAGTAACACCATCGTCTCTCTCTCTCTCTCTCTCTCTCTCTCTCTCTCTCTCTCTCTCTCTCTCTCTCTCTCTCTCTCTCTCTCTCTCTCTCTCTCTCTCTCTCTCTCTCTCTCTCTCTCTCTCTCTCTCTCTCTCTCTCTCTCTCTCCTTCTCTCTCTCTCTCTCTCTCTCTCTCTCTCTCTCTCTCTCTCTCTCTCTCTCTCTCTCTCTCTTTTATGTTCTCCGACCTATTATGACCCTTCCCTCTTTCCCTCACAGTAAGATCATCAGTTTCGTGAGCGACCCTAGCCAGCCGTCGTGGCACGGCTACTTCTACGCGGTACTCATGGTGTGCGTCAACATGCTGATGTCGGCTGTGCTCAACCAGTACTTCCTGGTGATGATGACCCTTGGCATGCGGGTCAGGACGACTCTCATCGCCGCCGTCTACAGGAAGGTGCGTGCACGCTGCTGTCGCTGGCGGGGCGGGGGAGGGTGTAGTTAGTTTCGTGGCGTGTTTTATGCTTAATCGGAAGGAAAGGGGCAGGCTTATTTAGGTGAATTTAGGGTAGCGGCCGTTGATGTAGTGATGGCGGTTTGATGCTTTCTGAGGCTCGGACTGAAATTGGGAACGGAATTGGGATTGAGATTGGGTGGAAGCTTTGATGAACACAAGATTTGACAGGCATGGAGTCGTATGCTAGGTATTTGTTGGGTGTGATCCATCGTCCATGATGCCGACTGAGTTTTGAACGGCACATGACTTTGTTGCTCCCGGCCAGTCTGCGTCTCCCGCCCCCTTGCCTGTACCCTGAACCCTAACCGCCCCTTCCCCCGCCCGCAGGCCCTAGTGATCAGTAACCTCGCCCGACGCGAGTCGACCGTGGGTGAGATCGTGAACCTGATGGCCGTGGACGCTCAGCGCTTCATGGACCTGGCCTCGTACATCTGCCTGCTGTGGTCGGCGCCATACCAGATCATCCTGGCCGTCTACTTCCTCTACCAGGAGCTCGGTGAGGGGGTCCGGCTCTGGGTTCCCTACGGGGATGCTAACTAGGCTACTTGTCACAGTCATGCCAATGTGTTATGTCATAATATTGTCATATGGATTGATCGGGTGTACAGTGAAAGTCACAAGACCTGAAGAGATCCCAGTCTCGGCGATCTTATTGCGTGCTGAACTCTTTCATCGCTCGGCGTCCGGGAGAAAAGAGAGTAGGTTGGCCGGTCTTATCTAGGCCTAACTCTAAGGAACCCGAAATGCGTCTCGATGGGTGACTTTACCACTTTTCCCCGGTGTCTTCCAGGCCCCTCTGTGTTCGCTGGCCTGGCTGTGATGATCCTACTGATGCCTGTGAACGGCTTTATCGCCAACGCCACCAAGAAGCTGCAGCTGCAGCAGATGAAGTACAAGGACCAGCGTGTGAAGCTGATGAACGAGATCCTCAGTGGCATTAAGGTGCGCAGTCGGCTGCCGTTCGATCTTCCCGATGTGATCTTAGCGTTTTAAAATAAGCCATAACTTGTGGCTCTCCAGTAACGATCTATGCATGCATGCAAAAAGTACTTAAGTTTGTCAATTTCATGCGAAGGCTGTCAGGATCTTCCCCTCCAATAGGTGTCCTTTGCAGATCAATAGTTATCCTTGCTATGTATAACACCGTCGATACCTCTCCGACCAGGTGCTGAAGCTGTACGCGTGGGAGCCGTCCTTCGAAGAACAGGTGCTCGGCATCCGTCAGCAGGAGATCCGCGTGCTCAGGAAGACAGCCTACCTCAACGCCGGAACCTCGTTCATCTGGACTTGCGCTCCGTTCGTGGTGAGTATCGCCGTGCTCTGCAGGGGGAGATAGAGGGTGAGATAACGTAGCGAGGGAATAATGAACGTGACTTAGTGTCAAACTGCAGCTATATAATGTATGGGGTGTCATAGCCTCTCACAGGTCGTTTAACGTTTCAAAAGAAACAAAAACATTCAAAGAGGTGTATTGTTATTACCTGCATATCGTTCGGGCATGGTCTGTGTGTCGGTTGCCCCCACAACGCCCCACAGATCGATCGTTTTCAGGCTGCACTTGACTGCTAGCATCCAGCGAACGATAAGGTGGGACTGTGTCGTCACTCGCCCGTAAATATACATCAGAAGTTTTCACAGACAGTCGATACCTAAGTCACAACAATGCTGGCGTTTGGGTTCTGAAATGGTCGATTTATCGATTGTGTATCCGAGTTTATTTCCATTGGTGACTGACCAACTGACTAGCTCTTTTTAGCCAGTTTGTTCGGTTGGCGTGGCTTCTATACTGGTGACGAGCGTGTCCGTCTTGTCTGCAAAGCTGATGCATGTTTTACAGTTAATTTAGCCGGTAGCTCCACGGCAGGGGCGGACTATTCTAGCATTTAGTGCTGACTGTTACGGCCGACCGAGCCTGAAGACAATCAATAACCATGGCACGTCGATACTAGCACCTGACAACCGCTCCATATGCCGGTATTGGACTCCACACCAAGCTTACAAGACCCAGGGAGCCGTCAATATCATCGGTCCCGGCCTCTGACCAGTGTTCCTTCGAACCGGGTCGGCTCATCATGAATTCTGAAGCCCATTGACCGTGTTCTGGTCTGCAGGGGATTCTGGCTGTCTAGTCTGCAGGTTTCACTAACCACGTGCGCCACGAGTCTGCAGCTATCACTAACCACGTTTGCCATGTGTCTGCAGCTATCACTAACCACGTTTGCCACCTGTCTGCAGGTGACGCTGATCACGTTCGCCGTGTACGTGCTGACGGGCAACGACGTCGACCCCCACTACCTGACGCCCGACAAGGCGTTCGTGTCGCTCTCGCTGTTCAACCTGCTGCGCATGCCTCTCAGCTTCCTCCCCATGCTGATCGTCTTCACAGTACAGGTAGACGCCGAGTCGCTGAGTCTCTGGGGCGCTGGTCAGTCCTGGAGACCGTGCTGTCTGTGTCCCGGTTTTGGGAGTCGCCTTTGGGTCGTCTTTCGTCCTGGAAGCCGAGTTCCGCTGGCCATACGGCGGGGTCGCCAAGTCTGGGACAAGCTGTGCTTTTGAGGATATTACGCTGGCAATCGTTGCTGCGCTTTTGTGGGGAATGCCTGCGATGTGTGGGCCTGGACTTGAATTGACTGACAGGATGGGAAGCCGTCGCCAGAGATCTACGTGGAGAGCTGATATGCCGCAAGGCACTGTCTCAGATGAGCGGCTATTGGGGTGTTCTGGTTTCGTGTGTTGCCGTCGTCCGTCCTCATTTGTCCGTCTGTGTGTATGTGTGTGTGTGTCTCGTCCCCCTCGTCGGGCCGTCCCGTCCCGCCTGTATCGTCCGGGCGTCCCGTGTCGTCCGGCCGTCCGCTGTACGTCGTGTCGTCTGCCCGCCCCGGCAGGTCTGCCTCGCGTCGTTCGCCACCTACGTACTGGTCGACTCCGATAACGTACTGGACAGTCGGCGCGCGTTCGTGGCGCTGGCACTGTTCAACGCGCTGCGCTTCCCCCTCTCCATGCTGCCCATGATCACCATCAGCGCCGTGCAGGTGACGTCACGTCGGACTGATGACGTCACAGATCATTGGTGACGTCACGTTACGGGGATAGGCCGGCTATGAGCCTGACTTACCGAGGGAATGCTGATTGCTGAGTAACTGGCCTTGCAGTATTTTGTTAGGGGGGGGGGGTTGAGGTCTAGAAACTTACTAACATGATACAAGATATAATTTATTTAACTGCAAGCAACTTTCTTTCTAATTTTATTTAGAATAAAACCGCCTCACTATCTTTCGTTGCGACATTGTTTTCCTTTTCTTTTCGCCCTTAGTTAGCCTAAGGTCTCAACACATTTTTCAGCGTTTGTCTGTAAACAATTTTGTTTTCTCGGCGCATTTTTCGCATTGCCCCGATGCAATTAACACATTCCTTCGCATGCTCGGCTGGTGAGTTGCACTAAGCTGGTTATGTATTTGTTGGTCTGCATGCTGGTAGCTCATGTTTTGCTTCTGTAAATGCTTTACGTTGCTTACTTATGTATTATTTTTCATGCATACCAGTTTTTAACCTTCTTTTGCCTTTTTGGATCTCGGAAAGGTGGGCTTTGAATCATCTGCCCCTTTGTAATATCTTAGTGCTTACCTTGGAAAGTTTGTAACGTACTTTTATCTTCGTTGATTGTTTCAGTTTATTGTCTTTTCATTTATATGATTTATTTTGTTAAGCCTTTAATAGTTATTCGATGTCTTTTACTTTCTGGAAAAGCTTGATTAATGCCTTTTAGGGTGAATGCGTTGTAAAGCCAATTATAGGGCTAATTCACGTCAAGTTCGTTGTCGTCCATCTTTGCTGACTCACCCTGCTGACTTGTTTATTCCACCGTTGCCAGGCCAACGTGTCGCTGACGCGTATGAACAAGTACCTGAACAGTGACGACCTGGACGACCAGGCCGTGTCTCACGACACCACTGAGAGTAAGTGCCGCCAGGGTGCCGTGGGAGTGTCCCGGGCCGGAAGTCGGGTAGTGTCGCATCTGTACCGTTTGTGTGCGGACAGGTGTTCTGGAGTATCTGTTATAGCGGCCATACTGGCCGGTTGTAGCTGTTACGAGCGGTGTTAAATTTCATCTTCCTCCTCCTTTCCAGCAGTTCGATGGACATTGGCTCAGGTGGTTGCTTATATTATGTTTTCATCTTCTTCTTTTGTGCATCATGCATCAACGGAGTGCAAGAAGAAATTGAGCTCTAGGTCTTTCTTGCAACGTAACCCCGTCCAGACCCCCACATAACCTCCTTGACCCCCCCCCCCCCCCATTCACAGGTGACCCGGTGGTGGTGGAGAACGGCACGTTCACCTGGGACCCCGAGTCCACTCCCTACCTGCAGGACATCAACATGCGTGTCAAGGAGGGCAGCCTGGTGGCCGTGGTGGGCACCGTCGGCTCCGGCAAGTCGTCCCTGCTCAGCGCGCTGCTCGGAGAGATGGAGAAGGTCGGCGGACGCGTCAACACCAAGGTACGCAGTCGGTGGCGGGACCGGGAAGGGCTGTAGGACATGGGTTATAAGCCATATCCTAAGGATATAATTTAGCACGGAAGGAATTATAGTACATCGGTGGATATAGTATGACGGAAATAGTCATGGAAAACTAAATGAATTATAAGTGGATGCCCACGTAATTTAGTGGTGGTAAATAGAATATGCCGTGAAGTTCATGCCTGCTGCCAACGATCTATGTGATCCATTTTATTCCATTATGACTCCATTACCATTCGTTACCATGATTCATGCTTCTCATGTTATGAATGATCATTCCGCCTGCACCATTGGGCGTGTTTTCTGTATCAACTGACGGGGACAAATGTGCCGCACTGACCCATCCCCCGCCTATGTGCACCACAGGGAAATGTGGCGTACGTGGCGCAGGAGGCCTGGATCCAGAACGCCACGCTCAAGGATAACATTCTGTTCGGCCGGACGCTGGACGAGGACCTGTATAACCGCTGTGTGGACGCCTGCGCGCTGCGGAGCGACTTTGACATGCTGCCCGGCGGAGACAAGACCGAAATTGGCGAGAAGGTACGCTGGGGTGACGCGCCCTGGGGTCGGGCCGGGAAGAGCAGTTGTAAGACATTGGTAATTTCGATGATAATGACAATGTATTCGTTAGCTGCAACAATAAAAGAGGTGGTGTGTGTGCTTCGGGATTTGTGTGTGTGTGTGTGTGTGGAGATAAATGTATGAAGTGTCTCGAAGTCGACGTGGATTTCTCTTTATGTGCCGCATTGGGTGGGTGGATGGCCGAGTAAGGTATGTGCTGGCCCTATAGTGGGATAGGTTAGCCTCCATGTAGAGATTCAGCTCCCATCCCTCTTACCGTGGTGTCCCTCGGATCTCTGACCTCTGACCTCTGACCCACCTTCTGCCTCCACAGGGTATCAACCTGTCTGGCGGCCAGAAGCAGCGCGTGGCGCTGGCTCGCGCCGTTTACAGTAACAGCGACATCTACTTCCTGGACGACCCGCTCTCGGCCGTCGACTCGCACGTCGGAAAACACATCTTCGAGAACGTCATCGGGCCCGAGGGCATGCTCAGCAAAAAGGTCAGTCTGCTGTGTTTGTGAGGAGTGATACTTTTGTTCCAGCAGGAAGTCATGTTACTTTGTAATTTCTAACAGCTGCATCTGCTCGTCTGCTGACTGTTGAGCACCATAGTTGGGAGAATCGCAAGCAAAACGAATAAGAAAGATTCTCGTTTCCCTCCGTTTTATCCATTGATTCTTGTTTAACATTGTCCTTCTTTTGTTGATCCGCGACCTTTGATATGGGACCTTCCGTGACCTGTTCTAACCGGTCTCTCCCCCGCACAGACTCGCATTCTGGTGACGCACGGTATCACCTACCTGCCATACACGGATACCATCACGGTGCTGAAGGAGGGCCGCGTCTCGGAGACGGGGCCCTACAAGCAGCTGATGGACAACAAGGGCGCCTTCTCCGAGTTCCTGCTCCAGTACCTGACAGAGGCCGGCGAAGACGAGGACGTAGAGGGTGAGAGAGATACGGCATGTTCAGTCGCTATGGGCTACTGCGACTGATGTAACTTCAGTGATGTTGGAATGAAAAGGAGGGAGGGAAGTCAAGAAGAAAGTCGGCCTGTGAGTGGGGATGGAGTTTTCTTTCCAAACGCACAATTATAGCTATCAATCGTAACGCTTTGTGCTGGTAAAGCTTCGCGTCACCCTTAGCCATGATAATCGGCTAAGCCTCTGATCACAACTGGCGCTTGTGGTATATTTCGGTGGGTGTACAGTTTACACGGGACGACTCAACTCCAACGCCGAAGCTCCCGTCTTCTATTTCCCACTACCGCACTGTGCAGGGTCGAACGGCGGACCCGCGCGCGTCAGTCCGTCCGACAGAGGAGCGGAGGCTCCCCACCGCTCCGCCGCTCTGCCTCCGACTGCCGAGCGCATAAGTACAAAACTCTCGACGATCCCACAAACGCCGAGAAGCAGCGGAGATCACCCCTTTTTCGGGGCGTAGTTATAGTCCGGTGTCGGGCGTAGTTTCGGTGAGAGTCGTATTTTTGTTTCTTTGAAAATGATCGAAGGCTACTCCGTGGTACCAATGAGCCTCGTTTGTGGTATTATGTTTGTTTGGTGACGGTTTTTAAGTTTCAATTGATGAAGCATAGTACAGAGTGACACAAAAAAAGCGGTCATCACCAAAATTCGAATAACTTCGGAAGTTTTATTTAGATCATCAACAAACTTCGGCCACTTTAGGTCACACCTATGTAGCATACATCCACCAAGTTTCAAGTCTTCACTACGAATACTTTTAGTACAGTGTGTGTTTTACTGACGCTCCACAATGTGCTCCAGGTGAGCGCCCCGGCGCTGCAGGGCGTAGGCACACCTGCATCCGGCGGGCAAAGTTGTCGATAACCCGATGGCTGTGCACTTTACAGAGTGCAATGGCCTCTGGAGACAGTGCTCAGGGGGTGTGCTACCCCAGAAACGTTATTCTTATCGGGTTATCGACAACTTTGCCCGCCGGATGCAGGTGTGCCTACGCCCTGCAGCGCCGGGGCGCTCACCTGGAGCACATTGTGGAGCGTCAGTAAAACACACACTGTACTAAAAGTATTCGTAGTGAAGACTTGAAACTTGGTGGATGTCTGCTACATAGGTGTGACCTAAAGTGGCCGAAGTTTGGTGATGATTTGAATAAAACTTCTGAAGTTATTCGAATTTTGGTGATGACCGCTTTTTGTGTCACCCTGTATTCGAGGATAACGGTTCTCAAGGCAAGAACCTGCTGCAGATTTTATCAGACGTATTTAGTTGTAGTTAAACTCCCATCTAAGACTGGGCATTTGGGGGCTTGCTAAGAATACTCTGCTCATTAGCATGCTTTGTGAAAAGTTTCTAAGGAGATCAACTACACCTTTCCAGTGACATTGGACCGGAAAGTGAGATTAGTTCATTTGATGATCTAGGTATGGTTACCGGATAAAAGGATGTTACAGATCACAGCGAGTCTTTATTTGTACCGCCTCCGATTTCACCTCGTCAATTCCTTTTTACAACCGGGCTGCGCAGCTCACATACGCAGCTGACTCGCAGGCTGCCAGTTTTCCATCTCGCCTATTCCGGCTGCTAACTCTATCTGCCATTTGAGTCGTACACCTATATCGCTCAATTCCAGAGAGTGATTCCGTTTCAAAAGGGATTGACACGTTGGCAGCATCGCTTCTGCGGCTCAGTTGTCAGGTCTGCGCCGTGACATTTGGGGCGGTTACTTGTGTCCCAATGCATTCGTTCGATTCTCTCGGCTGCAACCTTACTATCAATCCACCATAACTGAAGTTGTATCATCATACCTAAAGATGGCTTTTGACGCCTCCGTTCATCCCCTTATGCCTCTATTCACATCGCCCTGTTGTTTCGACAGAACTGGATGAGATCAAGCACCAGCTGGAGGAGACTATGGGCCGCCAGGAGCTGCAGCGACAGATGTCCCGCGTCAAACGCGAGTCCGAATGCCCCAGCGAAGACGGCAGTATACCGGAACTGAAGAGGTGGGTGGAGCCAGCTAGGCTGGTGTAAAGTGCGCTTTATTCACCCCGGGCGGACTGACGGGTGGTGCAGCTGCAAGGCTGGGTTCACACAGGATGCCTAGGAGGTGGAGTTGCGAATGTAACGGTGATGGTTTGTTGTGTTAGGGTGATCCTACAGGGCGATGCCAGGTGTTGGTGTCAGGCTATCCTGTCCTGTATAACTGGGTTTGAAATAACTGGCGAAGGTGCGAACTAAAAGCATGTGTTTTGAGTGAGTGAATGAGCAGCTTACTGCCATTGAAGATCCTGCTGATATTGTGTGATGTCTAAATTGGTGCTTGTCTAACTCTTGCTTCTGCTTTCGGGGTATTCGTCTTTTGGATGCGGGCTTCGACGAGTGATGGGCTTTCTCTCTTGGGTTGGGTGTGCCGTATTGGCTGGTACGCGCCTGCTATTGTATCCAAGACAGTACCGGTTCCCGCGGCAGGCTTCATAACGTGCGCGGCCCATCCCCTAACCCTCCCACCTGACCGGTTACAGTGACGAGGTGACCGAACTGCTCGGCTCTCGGCACTCGATCACGTCGGTCCACACGATACAAGTGAAGAGCAGCAGGTTGGTAATGTCCACTTGGTCCCTTCCTGTGCGTGCTGCATGGAGTCTCTGCACGGCCATATACTCTGAGCCGATTTAAAGGGACTATCCCACCTTCTAAAATGTTGTTAAAACCAGTTAAATTGTGCCCGACTTTATAGATTGGATGACCAGGAACACGGTTCTGGCATTTATTTTTCATTAAACATCTTAGGCTTCCCATATTCCAAACACAAACTTTCAAATATGTGACGTCACAGCCCAAAATTACCTCTTTCCCCAGGCCACATTGCTGTCATAAAGCTGATTCTTTTTACTCTGTAGGCACCACAACAAAGTTCAGACCAAGTTTTAAGCGATTTTTCAACGAACAAACCCATTTAAATCAGAATGACTAAACGAGGTGACGTCACACTAACGGTCGCTCCATGTTGAAGATAGGGCCTTGCACAAGGCCCATTTTCAAATGAAGGGAACGAATTTCTTCAACACCAAAAGGCCGCGGGGGTTGCAACCTAGATAGATAGTGGTTTCTGAACCTCGCCGCAAACTTGGCTATCTCAACTCAAACCCCATGTTAAAGGTGGGATAGTCCCTTTAATTATCGGCTAATATACCGTTACCGACAGCCACAAAAAGTAGGAGCTCACCCTATCGCGGGCATACGCATCACACGTCATGATCGCATCAAAAGGCACATGAGCAGTCATGCACCATTCTATGCTGCTAGTTGCGTTTTGCCTTGCGCTTTGCATGGCGTCTTGCACGGGCACCTAATGCTTGCGCAGAAGCGCTGGCTGCAGGCGCTCCCTCGCCCTGTCCGTGAACCAGCCAGGCAAGGAATGCCACCGGTGTAGCTGTCTTGCCGTCGGTGCTGTCAGTGGTGCAGATACGCGACACTGCTGAGGTGCTGGACCTACAAAGGACGCCAGATCTCGATATGAGCCGTGACGTGCCTGCGCTGGAAGAAGTACGCTCGTGGTCTGAGGATTGTGACCGCGGCTCTGGCGACTTCATGTTAAATATGCATACCTATTACCTAATGTATTGATGCTTTTAGCTTCAGTCTAGTTAGTGAAAGTTCCCGGCCCCCACTCAGTTACCCAGTCCACAGTATTTCGTCACAATTCCCCTTCGCTGATCCTATAACCTACCTAGCTGCTGACTGCTCCATGCTATACTCCTCTGATATCACCGGCTCTGTCCCATCACCCGCTAACCCCTCCCCGCCGACCCCGTCCCTCCAGGTCAGCGTCTGTGATCAGCGGAGAGCGAAACGGCAGCTTACGTCGCCGTAAGAGCAGTCAGACTAAGGACGAGGCCGTTCAGCAGACCCTGCAACCGCAGCCGGTCGCCCCCGCTACTGAACAGAAGGCCGGCGCCAAGCTGATCGAGGTGGAAAAATCCGAGACCGGAAAGGTGGGTGAATCGTTACGGGCACCGGTGTAACGACGTGGGTGGTTTTCGACTGAGAATGGAGACGAATGTGGTAGGTAGTTGTGGTGAATGTTTTGATGTAAGGACATGACTGTTAGACATTTAAGCAGGTGGAACTACCTAACTCATGGCACTTATTTCCCATTATTATTTTCCATTTGTTATTTCCCATTCTGCCCTGTTTTGGTCAGTTGATTGGTCGTATGTTACTGTTGTGTGTTATTCAATGAGCCCTCCGACGGGCTTTTTTGTATGTGTGTATGTGGTGTAGATACAGCGTCTAACGCGTCTGTTTGCCCGCTCTGTGTCGACAGGTCCAGCTGGCAGTCTACTGGTACTACATGAAGTCGGTCGGCGTCTTCCTCACCATGCTCACCTTCATGTTGTACGTCGCTGCGCAGGTACGAGTGGAACCATGTAGGGGAAGGCCGATTAGTGTTGTAACCCTCCCACTGTCTTCCCTAGTCTCCTTTTTTTGTAATACGTCATTTGTTTGCCTATAATTGACATTGTTTGATGGTAATCATGAATGTTTATTGCTTCATACATTAATGTAGCCAGTTTTGTTTCACCATCGCCGGCGACACGCCGGAAGGGAAATTCTAATTTAGCTGCCTCTGTGAGTTCACACCGTCATCAGTAGTCGCTCTGTTCTCCTTATTTAGATCTGATCTCATTCCTCCCCACAGGCGTGCAGCGTCGGCTCCAACATCTGGCTCTCCAACTGGACTGAGGATGTGGAACACTTCAACGACACACACACGCGTAACGTCTACCTGGGAGTGTACGGAGCATTAGGATTCGGACAGGGTGAGTGGCGGCGGACGACGGTGGAGGGGTGGACGCACGGTACAAGACGATCGTGCTAGGTAGTGGCTGCCGGTAGCGGGGACCATTGCTGATCTTTGCCGTTCGTTGGCTGTTAACCTTGGTCAACCTTAAGAAGACGTGTGAATAATGTTTATTGTTATTGATGACACTAGTCGCGGTATGAGTTTTTTATGGATGTGTGCTTATTGGAAGCGATAGAAGGTAAGAATGATAAAAAGAGTCTGGTGTCTGCTTCGTGCTTTGTCTCACGTTGTCGTTGTCCTGATCACTGTCTCCGGCTGTCGATAAACTGCTTTGGTTCGTACTGCGTTACCATTACGCCCTGGTCAATGGTCGTCTCCCGTGTTGTCTAGTCTGTCAGTCTCCCAGCCCGTGTGCCTTGTCCTCCATGCCAGCTGGATTGTAAAGTTCATGCACCACCCCTCCGTAAATGTCCCATATCTGTCCCAGTTGTCTCTCTTCCCTGTCTCCGCCCTTTCCTGTGTCGCCCCCTTCCCCGTCATCACTTATTGTCCGTCCACCCGATATACCTCCGTCCTCTGAACTGCCAGTGGTATCACGCCACTTTTCTGCGTGTGTCGTCCGGGTTGTCCCGTCGGGGCCGCTCCGTCCCGTGTTTGTCTGCGCTCGGGCGCTGCTCGACGCGGCCGGCCGGCTTCTGTCTGCGTTTCAGCCGTGTTCTCCGTGCTGGCCGCGTTCTCGCTCTACACGTGCCTGCTGATCGGCGCCCAGATCATGCACTCGGATCTCATGCACAACGTCATCCGGCTGCCCATGTCGTTCTTCGACACCACGCCGCTCGGACGCACCATCAACCGCTTCAGCAAGGACGTGGACGTGCTGGACAACACGATGCCGATGGTGATACGCGGCTTCATCATGACCTTCGTTGTCGTAAGTGACCTTAGCGGCGGGCTGCCATAGCGCGATGCTAATGTGACAGCTATTGACTGACCAGTGACTATGCCCTTCCCTCAGTGAACCATGGAAGCCTGCCCCCCTCCCCCCCAGGGACCCCTGACCCCTGTACCTCCCAGTGACCCGTGTGTGACCCACGTCTAACCCTGTGACCTCCCCCGGCAGCTCTGTTCGTGCTCTTCCCGTCTATTGTGATGGCCTACGGCATGATGCGCGCGTCTCAGCTTCTGCACAGCCACATCCTGTCTCGGCTCTTCCACAACCCGCTATCGTTCTTTGACACCACGCCGCTGGGACGTATCGTCAACCGGTTCAGCAAGGACGTAGACATGATGGACAACACGCTGCCGTTCAACATCCGCTCCTGGATTAACTGTCTCTTCTCTGTAGGTGGACGTTGACCGTGGCAGTCGGTAGACCGGAGCTGGAGTTTGTGTTCGCTGAGAGTCCGGGAGTTCTTGGTCATGGAGTCTTGTCTTTGAGCAGGGAGATATGACGTCGCTAGTCTGTCGGACTGGAAGGTATTGGAAAGTAGTGTACGGGAATTGTCCTGGTGAGATGGATTGCTTCGTTTCGTCCCGTTAGAGCCAGAATTGGTTCGGCGGTGCTTGGGTTGCGTGTTTCGTCCGTCCGGGCGTGTCGTCTTTGGGTTCTGTCGGTCCGTCAATCTGTCGACAGGATCTGCCTCACGGTTTTCAGAGTTTCTTGCTCGGTGCTTTGGCAAGTCCGTCCGGGAGTTTTTTGCACCGTCATTTTGCAGGTGGCACTACAAGTTATCCGTCGGTGACTGGTGGCTGGTTCCGTCAAGTACCTTGACAGAAACTATAAAGGAGGACTTGTTTTTGCAGATCAGGCAACTGCTACCGTGGGTCGTCGCGCTGGAGAGATTGTATGCTTCTGGTTTTCCGTTTTTTAGTCCGTCATATCGAGGTGCTACAGTTTCGATCGCCACTTACATCATGGGCTTTTTTGTCCGTATCTGGGTGTGTTGCTTACTTGTGACAATCTAGAGCAGCATACGTAAATTTGTTCCTATTCAGTATGCGTTACTTACTTTTGTACTTTCTGTAATTATACGTGCTGGTAATATTTTAATTTCTCAGTTTTGTTCACTTTTGAGTCATAATGCCATTTCTAATGCTGCCAATATGACTACGTACTTTACCGAGTACCAGTTACATCGCGATGTGGGAGGTCAGTGTGGTGCAGTCTGGCTAACTACTCCCCTCTTCGTCTCCCCCGCTCGCTCTCTCCAGGTGCTGGGTACGTTCTTTGCCATCATTTACGCCACTCCCATCTTCCTGGCCGTGGTGATACCTCTTCTCGGAGTCTACTACTTCATGCAGGTCAGTCAGAGCAGGGTAAAACAGGGTAGACCATTGGAGCTGGGTAAACCGGGCAAACCGCCGTCTGTCGTGGCGTAACGCCATCGCTGGCGGGAGGAAGGTTGGAATGACTCTTACTGCAACGCAGGAACGAATTGAGCCTATGTCGGGAAGAGATAGATCTTGCGTAGCTTTCATGGATGTCACAACTACGGTGTCAACTGTACGTGAAATTGTACATTTCCTAGGGCGTATAACTTTGTCCAAGACACCGAAGCCTGTTTTTCTCTCACATTTTGCCACTGTAGCTGCTCGCAGAGTGGTCGTTGTCTCCTGATATGACGATTGTAAGACGCTAAGACTGACACTTTCCCTGTCATTCGCAGCTGGTGTACGTGTCCACCTCGCGGCAGCTGAAGCGACTCGAATCGGTCTCCCGGTCACCGATCTACTCACACTTCTCCGAGACCATTACAGGTTAGTGGCAGCGCAATGCTGAGAGCTAGGCGTAGTGCAGGTGCTAGGCGAGACAGGAGACGCCACGTGCCCGGCCTACTGGGCTGCCGGTGTATCAGTGTTGCATTCCATGGCACATGGAACATTTTCTTTGCACTCAGTCGCATCAGCTGTGAACAATGCCATTGCCTACCCGGTGATTCGGTGCGCTATAATTTCCTTTGCAGTTAACTGCAGTTTCTTAGCTTATACAGTAAAGCGTTGTCAAAGCTCTGTTCTGTACTTTCTCACCCGAATTCTTTATCTGACGCCATTTCTGACCTGCCCTCGTGTCTCCCGCTAGGCTCTATGACGATCCGCGCCTACGGCAAGGTGCAGGACTTTGTGCTGCAGTCGGAGGCCAAGGTGGACGACAACCAGGCCTGCTACTATCCGTCCATGATCGCTAATAGGTGAGAACCGCGGGTAAATCGCCACCACTGGTCACCAGACCTCGGGCGGATGGAGCTAAAGAAAGACGTCCGTGCGAGCAGCTGTAAAGGCCGCCGTCCACTATGCGGAACGCTTGCGGTCCGTACGGAATTTAACACAGAGCCCTATGGGCGCATCCGGTCCGTACGGAAATCGTGTGCGCTCCGTCCGGACCGCATCCGAACGGCAATCAGCTGTTGATTTTCCGTCAGCTCTCCGCAAGCGTTTCGGAAGCGGTTGCTACGGAAACGAAATAACAAAGTCCGACATGTTGAACTTTTCTGCGGAGAACGCAGGCGGAACGGACGCGGACAGGTACAGTCTTCCGTCTTCGAGTTTTCAATTGCAAATTTCAGAAATAATTTCAACTCTTTCAAGATAAAGTAAGTAAACATAATGTCCTTGACATGGCAGCACTATGTTATGCTAGTAACTTGCTATACTTTCTTTTGTAATAACTGATAATTGCTCTTTACAAAGTGTTAGCAAGTGTCCGTGAGCTCTCCGTCTGCGGTCCGGATGCGGTCAGCGTGCGGCGACATTCCTGACGGACTCCGGACGGAATTCCGCCACAGTGGACGGCGGCCTTTAGAGCTCCGACTCACCAGCTACCCTGGACAGACAAATCACTGCAGACCTCACCAGATTGCTAATACCCCGTCCGGGCATCCACAGCACATTCAAATCCTTCTCCCCGTCGCAACCCTCGGTCCGGGCTGGACAGCATCGCGGCTCCCAAGGGGAGCACACCCGTAGTCGGGTGCAGAGAGTACTTGGGGGCTAATTGGCTTATCCATTCGGACGGGCTCAGCCCCGCTGACTCCCTAGAGTGCCCGCCCAGACCAATGTCTCCCCCTAGTTCCTATCACCCTTCTGGCTCTGAAATGGTCTTGTCAGACCGAAACGACCTAACCCAAAAAGGAAAAAACAGATTGCTAATAGACCGCCAATGGTCACAGGACTACGGGTAATCCCAGATTCAGCATTGGATGGAAAGAATGACTTACATACCAAGGACAGGCCCGTCAATTTCAGCCAGCAGATTTGGGTGACATTTGCAATGCGGACACTGTTTAAGGGAGGGCGGAGGATGGATGTAGGTTCGTCTGGCATAACTACCTGTAAATGTCTGGGAACTTCACCTTGTTCCTGGAACGCATTACAGTGGTCCGCCTCTGTTTACTTACTGCGTCGTATCTCAGTTCAATGTCGTCACACGAATACCGTCTCCAATGATATCCACGTTAGGCCCCATAAATCTCAACCATTACGATTGCTGTCTGTCCCAATTGGTCCACAGTCCAGGCTGCCCCGTCTTCCCTGGCCTCACTGGCTCAACCAGTTGACATTTCATCTCCCTCGCGGAACTGGAAATTGAAGCTTACGGATGACTTTCCTCCACGTCTCTGTCTGATTTCTGACAAACATTTGTTCTCTCCCCCTCTGCCGTCGAATGCAACACTGTGACCCCCGATCTACCTCCCTCCAAGTTAATATAACCTTTGTAGATGTTTTCAATGCTCCGATTGTACCTGACCCCCGCTCTCCCTCGTTCCATCAGGTGGCTGTCGTTCCGGCTGGACATGATCGGCACCTGCATCACCTTCTTCGCCTCGCTGTTCGCCGTGCTGGCCCGCGACTCAATCGACGTCGGCCTGGTCGGCATGTCCGTCTCCTACGCCATGCAGGTGACGCAGACGCTCAACTGGCTGGTGCGCATGACGTCCGACGTCGAGACCAACATCGTGGCCGTGGAGCGCATCAAGGAGTACTCTGAGACGCCCCAGGAGGCCGTCTGGGTGGACGAGAGCCGGCCGCGGCCGCCGCCCGAGTGGCCGCAGTCGGGCCGCGTACAGTTCAACAACTACCAGACGCGCTACCGGCCCGGACTCGAGCTCGTCCTCAAGGGCATCGACGCCGACATTGCTGGCGGCGAGAAAATCGGCATCGTCGGCCGCACCGGCGCCGGCAAGTCGTCGCTGACGCTGGCGCTGTTCCGCATCATCGAGGCGGCCGCCGGAGATATCACGCTGGACGGGATCCGCATCAGCGACATCGGCCTGCATGACCTGCGGTCCAAGATCACCATCATCCCGCAGGTGCGTGTCTCGGAGCGCCAGCGGCTGTGGCGCACGGCGTGTGGCGTTAGCGTGTCTGAAAGTTCTATAATTGTACTCATCATCGTTTGTCCTCTCGTATACCTACGTATTTTTAAAGATGATTTTCCATCGTTATTATTTAGGCATGTGACTGATTTGAGCGGAAACATTTCATCGTCATCCTTGTTCCTTTGGGTGGAATTTCCCTCTCTGACTCCCAAAACAAAATTTAACTTTGAAACACTCGCGCATGACACATCAGTTCAAGCGACACCGTTCATCCACACCCGTTTCAAATGTGACACTGGCCCTCCTCTGCCCCTCGCCAGGACCCGGTGCTGTTCTCGGGCACTCTGCGCCAGAACCTGGACCCGTTCGACCAGTACTCGGACGACCAGGTCTGGGCCGCCCTGGAGCACAGCCATCTGAAGACGTTCGTCAAGGGACTGGCCGCCGGCCTGCAGCATGAGATCAGCGAGGGCGGCGGCAACCTCAGGTCAGTGGCTGGGGAGGGGCACTCTGGTAATCGCTGACCTCAGGTCAGTGGCTGGAACGGGATACTGACCTCAGGTCAGGGATGGGGAAGTGGTAGCCTCAGTCAGAGTCAGGGACGGTTTTGACCATCAATGACCTCGGGTCAAGGATTCAATTCAAGAACCGTCCGTTAGGATTTGTGCAATCTCAACTCAGTATCGACTGGGGGTTGTAGTAACCTCAGTTCTGACTCGGATGCGGAACTGACCCTAGGTCAGGGGTGGGGCGTTACGGTGACAAGCCAGTCACATGGGCTGGGCTAAAACTTACATGTCTGTACGACGCCCTGGTCTAAACTTACCAATGTCCCATACAGCGTGGGCCAGTCTCAGCTAATCTGTCGGGGCCGCGCGCTGCTGACCTGACCCGTGCCCTGCAGTGTGGGCCAGCGTCAGCTGCTTTGCCTGTACCACTTTCTGACCTGACCCGTGTCCCTCACAGCGTGGGCCAGCGTCAGCTAATCTGCCTGTACCACGCTCTGACCTGACCCGACCCCTGTCTCTCACAGCGTGGGCCAGCGTCAGCTGATCTGCCTGGGCCGCGCGCTGCTCCGTAAGACCAAGATTCTGGTGCTGGACGAGGCCACAGCAGCGGTGGACCTGGAGACGGACGACCTGATCCAGGCCACCATCCGATCAGAGTTCGCCGACTGTACCGTGCTCACCATCGCGCATCGGCTCAACACCATCATGGACAGCACCAGGTATGGGCAGAGGAGGGGATACATCTTTGGAGAGCTTCAGTAAGGAGGCTAGAAGAAGCTACTTTTTTAACCGTCCCAATAGGGCACAGGAAGGGACGGGATTTGCGCCATTGTGTAGCGCCAAGCTTGGTCTCGGGCTGTGAAGTAATTGGGATCCGTAGGTTGAAAATTTGTGATGAATCGTCGCGTGATGGATGTGTAGCTCGGCCTGTTGGTTAAGCAGCGAATCGTCACTCACCCGGGGTACGGATTCGCCGAGTTCCTCGGTCAATAGACTGGTGGCTCATGTATCGTGTCAGACATTGTGATATTTATTCACTTTCGATGACAACACAAAAGCAAATATTCTAAATAGCCAGACGTTTCGGCCTCAGGGTGCCTTAGTCAGTGACGATATCAAGATACTAATACATGAATAAATTAATCAATATCTTTTTCACTTTCAAAGTACACATGACCTGGACATTTTTTAACCATTCTGCACAAGAGACTGCAGTCCCATGTGCAGAATGGTTAAAAAATGTCCAGGTCATGTGTACTTTGAAAGTGAAAAAGATATTGATTAATTTATTCATGTATTAGTATCTTGATATCGTCACTGACGAAGGCACACTGAGGCCGAAACGTCTGGCTATTTAGAATATTTGCTTTTGTGTTGTCATCGAAAGTGAATAAATATCACTGGTGGTTTAATTGTGCGCTATGTTGTCCCTCACCCCGGAACTGACCGACTCTCCTCGGCCGTCAGGGTGATGGTACTGGACGCGGGCCGCATCAAGGAGATGGCGCCGCCGTCGCAGCTGCTGGCAGACAAGAGCTCGGCCTTCTACAGTATGGCCAAGGACGCCGGCCTGGTATAGTGGCGGCGCGGCGCGCCAGCGTTCTCAGGCAGCTGGGCAGGGCGGGTCGGCCGGCCGCCGGCGGCCGGTCGACTCGGTAGCGGTGCCCGTACACCACTGTGACCTCCGCCCGGACTCTGTGTCTGCGTGTGTGTCAGTCTGAGTGTGCCTGTGTCGGTCTGATGAAGAGCGCCGCGCACGGCTCGCACCGTGCGGAGAGCGCGTGTGTATTGTTTACGCACTGTGTGTGTATGAAGAGCGGTGGAGCGAGTGAGAGTGAGAGACGAGTCGTGGACGATCCTGCCAGACGAGTCGTTTGTTACTATTTGTATCTGGTATTCGTCGTTCCATGCGGTACCTGTAGTGTTCTAGATGTGATGTGGCGACTACTTGATCCATGTATGGGGACTCTGGCCGGAGCGGCCAGGGCTCCGGCTGGCGCTGATTGTTTGTTTGTGCGGTGCAGAGGCATACCGATGCTGCCAGGAGCTGGTGTCGAGTGGTGGATCGTTTCTGGAGTTTCGTGATGACGGATTAGATTGCTGGGGGGGGGGGGGGGGTCGATTTCATGACATTGTACCCGGATGGGGCTACGGCCACGAGTGATTGCAGTAGGCGGGTATTGACGTCAGGGCAGGGGCGAGGGCCACGGGCCGCGCGCGCCCCGGCGACCGCAGCATTCAGATTGCCAGTGAAGACAGTCGCATCATCGAACTACAATACACGTTACTCGGTTATCCATGGTGTGTGTTCCTAAGGGAGTGGTGGGCTACATGCTCTGACCGTTACTGGAAAACCGCTGGCAATGAGGGACGTCCCGGAAATCAGTCAGTCATCAAGCCCAGAGGATTCTATGTTCGAAGTAGCTCCTATATTACACATCAACGAATTTTCCAGAGTCCATAGGAAAACTGTAATGAAACTGCACAGTGCACAAACAATACCTACACCCAATCGAACAATGCGGATAATGCGAGCTGCGGTTAGAGGTGATTCACGATTAAGAAGGTCTAGGGGGTAAATTACCCCGGCTTTCCACTTCATCATTAATGCAGCGAAGGGGCGGGGCCAGGGGAACAAAAGTGCAATGTGATTCATAGAAAGCAATGTAGCACTAGTGAATCATTTGTAAAAGGACTGCGGATCCTGAATCGGAGTCTGGAGTGATGCTAGAAAGACAGGCAGGTGCAGTGAAACTGCAGGTGAACCAGCAGTTTGCGCACCTGCCGCCGCGTGGCGCTCGCGTCGCCCGCTGAACGGTCGGGGACGGGAGCCGGCTGTGGGGTAGCTGGCGGCGGGTCTCCGCCCCCCGCCGAGCCGGCCGCCCGGGCGCCGGGAGCCAGTGGCGCCGGTGTCAGCTGTGCGGGAGGTGCCGTCCCGACGGAGGAACCCGAGTAGTGGTGGTGCTGAGTCGGCGATCGGTCGCGTGCCAACGAGAGGGCACAAAGGAGGGAGCATGGAGGTAGCCGTCCGAAATTTCGTCGGAGGTGAGTACTGAGTACCTACTCTCGATTAAAATCTCTCGAAAACTACGTGAATCCTCTTCTTGGCCGTGTTTTGTTTACGATGCACGGGAACCCATAATTTGTGCCGTGTATTCGAAGTCACTTTGCCTGCTTAGTGCTTGCCCTGTCAAGCCTTCAGCGCCGCCACTGAATTATAATTAAATTCGTTCGTGCAGCTACTTCGTCGGATGAACACGTAACGGCTCGATAAGGATTGCATGTTGCATAATCGGCGCTGGAGGCTGATTATGCAACATTTAGTGCTACCGCTGACTTGATCATCTCATACATTGAGTGTGTGCTAACAATTTTATTGTCGGCGCACTCGCGCACTTAGGTATATGCGTATTTTTGCCGGTATAGAAGGGCATATTTGTGACGTCTTTTCCCGGAAAGTTTTCAATCGTATTGGCTATTGTTCCAAATTTTGATCCAATATCCACGCTATTGTCTCGGTATATTTCTATTCGACGGTGGTGTTCGACATTCGACAATACGTTTTGACAGGAAAGGAAAATGAGTAGGCACATACAATTCTTACACATTCAACTGTTGTGCACATGATAGCGCGATACTCGGCTATTCCACCTCCATTATGCTCAGTCACGAGTTTGTTGAATCGGGTTTCATCGTTTAGCCGACCTATAAAACGACATCCTTCCGAACTTTCACTAAAACGTTGGGTTTTTCTCGATCCCACAGAAAAAGAGGCCCAGGCCGAAGTTCCCGTCGTATTTACGAAATTCACACGACTCATAATCAAATTCGTTCCAATGTGACCGGGCAGGTCGATGGTTGCTGCACACGACCGCTGGCGCTTTGGCTAACATTGCCCGATGGTATAAGGCATTCACGTTGTTCCCTTCGCGTGTCTCGCCTCCGGGGTGAAGATTTAGATTCGTTCTCCAGATCCCGGAGGGCGGAAGCTGGTATCCATCTGCTTCGGGGCACGATTGACGCATTCCTTTTCTAAGAAGGTCATTTTCTGGTTGAAAGTTCGCAAGCGAGAATCCGGAAGTGAAGCCAGCCGACCATCCATGACCAGATGACAGACAATATCTGTCATGTGACTGAGATGGTCACGGTCATAGGCATGAGGCGGTCCAGGGCGTCGTGTAACCCAGTCGGGAGGGGGGAGGGGGTGGCGGTCAGTCACGTGATCTTTCGTCGGGGTGGCCGCCGGGTGCCTGGAAGTGTCATGTGACACCGGGGAAACCCCGCTCCCAGGGTGTTAGTGTGACACGTATTGAGCTATCGGTCACCGGGGCGGGGCGGCGGTTCAGTTGACCTTCAGCGCGGTGGTGATGGACACCATTCAAGCCTCTAACATCCTGCACTGATCAATTATCATTGGACGAGCGCCCCGCCATGGCCCGGCGAGCGGGTTGAATCATATCGTTGGATGCTGGTTTCCCATGTTGCAATATGGGGCCCAGGGGTGTCGATTTTTCAAAATGGTTGGGGGTGCTCACTGCTCAACCCCTGCACCGGGTGAAAGATTGCAGCTTTGCCATGGGGCACAACCGTACAAGGCAGGGTTGGTTATCCCCATAAGGTACTGATAATGCCGGGATTTCCACCACTAACATTTCCCAAGGGCAGAACGTTCCTCTTGAAAATCATTCTGCTCGTCCTAGTACTTGGCTACCTTATTACATTAACATCTTTCCGAAAAAAAGTCGTATATTTGCCGCCAGCATGGCAGCAGCTCCGACACCTCTGTAATAAGGTGACAGAAACCAATGACGGCGATTAGCACCGGTGCAGCAGCCGCTGCGGTCCGCAGGGGCGGACATTGCGCGGAGGCAACGGTGGCTACGAGGCTCTGGCGGTAATCAGACGATCCCAATAATGATCGCTGAAAAAATGACAGGTGATCGCATTTGGATATTTACGGGTTTACGATTTTCCTCAGTGGCGTAGCCAGGTGGGCCGTGAGGCACGTGCCCCCCCCCCCCCCATCAGGTTCGGGCCCAGGGTCCCCTCGGGTTATTCGGGCTTGAGGGGCCCTGAGGCGCCATTGGCCGCTAAGAGTCAATGTTGGTCATATTTGGACAAAGAAGGATCCACGGGGCTCGTAAAAAACCCTCATGGGCCCACAAGTACCAACACTAAGATCTCTCTCTCTCTCTCTCTCTCTCTCTTCTTGCACGCCACGCGGCGGGCCCCCTAGGGGGCCCGCCGCGGGAGCACGTCGACGGGGGGTTCGACGCGCCCCACTCCTCGGAGAAACTCCGTGATTTTATTGGCCGGCTCCTGGAAGATTTCACGGAGCGTTGGCGTAAAACCCCAGAGCCGGCCTCGGGTGCGGGAGTATGCGGGACACTCCGTTAGTAGGTGCTCGACGCTATCGGGCTCGGAGCAGGCAGGGCAGCGGTCGTCTTCCGCCAGCTCCAGCCGTAGCAGCGTATCCCGGGTGAGTGGCGAACATCCGGTACGCAGTTGGGAGACCGTGACCGACTCCCAGCGCGTCATCTCGTCGTGCCCCGGGGTGGCAGCCGGGAACGGGTGGGCGTCTCGGGCGCGGGCGCGCGCCATCTCCACGGCGTGGCGCCTGATCGCTCCGCGGGCGCTGGCCAGGTCGACAGCCACCCGTGCCTGGTCTTCAGTTGCGGCCTCCGCCGCCAGGCGGTCCGCAGCCTCATTCCCAGTCACTCCCGTGTGGCCCGGGACCCACTGGAACACGATCTGGTGGTCACCGTCCTCCAGCTCGTGGATGAGGCGCCAGACTTCGGTGGCGAGAGCCGACGTCTGGGCCTCCGGGCCCCGTCGCAGTAGTTGCAGGCCTGACATGGAGTCGGTGAGGAGGCGGATTCTTCGGGTCTGCGCGCGTTCCTCGGCGTCGAGGTTGGCGACCACTGCAAGCGCCTCCTTGATGGCCGTCAGCTCGGCCCTCAGGCTACTGCAGATTCCGCCTGCGGGGGCGCGCACCTCCACCTCCCTGTCCAGTCGGTGAAGTTCGATAAGCGCGCCTGCGCCTCCGTTTCGGGTGCCGCCCCCCGCCGATCCGTCCGACCAGATGGTCACATCCGTCGGTGGTAGCTCGGCGATGGCGCGTAGCGCCGCCTCCCTTCTTTTGTCCGGTGGGTCCATCTTCTTGGTTGCAGTCGGTAGGCTGATCACGAAGCGGACCGCTCCGCTGCCAGGGCGCCAGGGCGGTCGGCACCGGTGGAGGCTCAGCGGCTCCGCAGGGAGGGACGCCAGCTCAGCTCCCTCGGCCATCCACCGGCCGACTCTGCGCAGGCATGGCTTGTGCGTCAGGGTAGCGTCTTCATCCGGCGGTTTCGGTAGTGGGCGGTGCCCGGCTGCAGCCTCTGAGCATGCTCTAGTCCACGCCTCATGGGCTCGGTACTTGAGGCGTGGCGGCGGGCACGTCAGCATCAGGGTTCGGACTGGGTCGTTCTCTGGGAGGCGCACCATCCGCTGGTACTCGATGCCAGCAAGTTGCTTGGACCTCACCGTCAGGGGAAGAAGGTCGGCTTCCGCGGTGAGTGCGCCTGTCCTCGTCAGTCGGATGCACCCAGTGATCAGTCGAGAGCACTTGTTTTGCTCCGCCTCAAGCTGCTCCCTTGCCGCCGGTGCGCAGTGGGTTCCGAAGACAGCGGCGCCGTAGTCGTACAGGGCTCGGATGTACCCGATATACGCCGTTCTGAGGGTTCTTCGGTGGCTGCCGTACGACTTGCCGGCGAGGGCTTGCAGGCACTGTCTTCTCTGGGCCATTTTCTTCTTCAGGTCCTTGACGTGTTCGGTGAAGGTCAGTTGGCCGTCGAATTTGATCCCCAGGAACGTCGGGTTCTCGGTGATTTCCAGGGGCTCGCCGCGCATGCTTAGCCTCGGTCGGGCCTTGCCGCCCGTCTCCTTTGGGTCCAGCGAGAAGGCAGTGACGGAGCATTTGCTGATGTGGGCGTCACTTTCCATTTCTTCAGCCATTCGTCCGTACTGTCCAGGCACGGCTGGAGTGTCTGGCAGCACTTCTCGATGGACACGTTCGTGGCGAGCAGGGCAACGTCGTCTGCGTAGAGTGACCTGGCGACCTCCTGTGGCATGTTGCCGTCGATGTCGTTTACGTATACCAGCCACAGCAGGGGTGCCAGTACGCTGCCCTGCGGGAGGCCCTCCTGGAACACCCGGGAATCGGACAGGGTGGCGCCCCATCGGACGCGGGCGCGGCGATCTGTGAGGAACGCTCTCACCCAGCGGATTGCGCATCCCGGGATGCCGAGGCGGTTCAT